GAGTGCAGTAGCTGATCTCGGCTCACTGCAGCCTCTGCCTCTTGGGTTCAAACAATTCTCCTGCCTCAGCCTCCTGAGTAGCTGAGGAGGCACTAGTACATTACAAGCACTAGGCACATGCCACCGCACCCAGCTAATTTTTGTATTTTTAGTAGAGACAGGGTTTTGCCATGTTGTTCACGGTAGTCTCAAACTGACCTCAGTGATTTGCCCACCTCGGCCTCCCAAAGTATTGAGATTATAGGCACAAGCCACTGCAACCGGCCAGTAATCTCATTTTAAAAAGTCAAACAAAATATAAACAAGAATAATAAAATAGGGCCCTCAGAAGCCTAGACTAAATGGGGTATATAGCAACTCGAAAACTCACCCCACTCCATAGTTTATGAACAAGCCTTTGCTTGTTTGGAATATACACTTACTCTAACTACTGATACCCACCACAGAAAGGTTGCCTTGAATTGCAGATATTGCCATATATAGTCCATATAATGAAACATAAAAAGGTGTTTTATTAATTCAGCTTTCAGGCAGATCCCAAAAAACCTATTGGGGGACACATTCTAGCTCATGCTTCAACAACAAGAATAAGCTTGCGAAAGGGAAGAGGAGAACTCAGAATTGCCAAGATTTATGACAGGTAAATTTTTTTTAGTGTGTGTGTGTGTGTGTGTGTGTGCGCGCGTGCGTGTGCGCGCGCACGCGCGCGCAGAGGCGGAGCTTTGCCATGTTGCTCAAGCTGGTCTTAAACTCCTAGGCTCAAGGGATCCTCCCGCCTTGGCCTCCCAAAGTGCTGGGACTATAGATGTGAGCCATCACACCCAGCCTCCTCATCAGATTCTTGTGCATATGGTATTAAACACAATTGCATCTCCTGCAATGCTGTAATTATTACTGGCAGATGCTGTGTGTTTGAATTTCCTTCTCAAAAAGTATTCAGCTTATTGGGAAGTCCCTACTGTGTGCTTGGTAATAGGGATTCAGAGATTCTGTTGACACATAGACTTGGTCCCTGAAAAGCATACACCTAGATAATGAAATCATCAATTCCAATTAAAGTGTGGTAAGTGCAGGGTAAGTATCAAGAATGGAAATATATCTCCTTTCCTTTTGGTAAGCTAACTCTATTTGCTTTTCAGGTTTCGGTTTAAACATCAATTTCTCAGGGAAACTTTCCTTAGCCCTTACAGTCTAGGCTACCCAGAATCTTATACCCTATATTCTTTCTCAGCACTTTACATGTTTAATTAAGAATTGCAGATTTGGGCCGGGCGCGGTGGCTCAAGCCTGTAATCCCAGCACTTTGGGAGGCCGAGGCGGGTGGATCACGAGGTCAAGAGATCGAGACCATCCTGGTCAACATGGTGAAACCC